CGCCAGCCTTCTGGTTAGCAGTCAAGTGCCTTAGCCACTATGCTACCAAAGCTCCTGTATCTATCCTAGAAAGTATGAATTGGTATCATCTTTTGGTTTTGATTTCCCTTTCCTGGTGGCTAATGGTGTGGAGCATCTTTTCATGTGCTCATTTGGCCATTTGTATGTCATCATTGGAGTCTATTTAAATCCATTGCCCCTTTGTCAATTGGCTTATTTGGCTTTCTTTATACCACAGACTTTACTAGTAGATTGCTGCTGGCTTGTGCTGGATGTGGGGTCTGTGGGGTCGGGTAGGGAAGATTTTCTCTCAGTTTTTCGGCCTTCCCTCTCAGCAGGCCGGACAGACACTTGAGCCACAGAGGGTGCTCCACCCCCACCACATATTTTCTGTTCTGCCCCAGTCTCAGTAACAACAATAACAAAACCAAACCCACTGCCATCAAGTTGACTCATAGCACCTCCCTTTGGATTTCCAAGGCAGTATAAATCGTTACTGAAGTAGATTGTCTCATCTTTCTTCCGGGGAGCAACTGGTGGGTTTGAACCACCAACTTTCTAGTTAGCAGAGTTTCAGTGTCAGGCAGGCCCTAAGTACCTGAGCCTCAGGGGTGGAACTTTCTCAGTGTTGCTGCCTCTTCTCCTACCTCCGCCCACCCTATGGCAGCTGAACTTTGCCTTGTATCAGTTTTGTTGCCAGTTTGAGAGGGTTTTCCTTTGGAATACTCCCAGGAGACTTTCTGACCTTTCCCCTGGATGGAGATGGTTTCTGCCACATATGACAGAAGGTGTGGTGCCTGTGTCCCCACAGCAGGTGATCGCAGCCTGCGTGCCTGTACCAGTGAGCAGGGCTCTTTTAGGTCTCTTGCTTTCACTCTTTCCCTGAGTACCCAGTAGGGGGCTGTGCACAAGAGCTTAGGATGGTTCTGGCCTGCCCTTATCTCTCAGGCTCCGGCTTCTAAACTTCTGTATTAGCTCATACTCACTCAGCCTTTAAGAACTGATAACAGTTCCACTTGTTTCCTTTTTCCCCACTTTGATGGCAGCCATCTCTTCCTCCTGTGCTCTGCCAGTTGTAAAACAGCTCATTTGCCCTATATTTCCTCAGGGACTTGTCACACTTTGAATCTCAGTTCACCTGGTTGCCTTGGAAACTCAGCTCTTTCATGTACTAAACAAAGTTAAGATTTTTGTAGATTACCCAGCTTTTTCTAATTTTGATGTTGAGGGTGGTGGTGTTGTTCTCTTGTAGTTTTTTGTATCAGAAAGGAAAGCAGAACTCTAGAGTTGACCTTTTAATCAGGGCTTCAAGCCATCTTTCTACTCCGGAATCCCCTAGGGATCTTGTTAAAAATGTAGATTCTGATTCAGTATCTCTGGGGTGGGAACTTCTCAG